AAACAAGTAAATAAACATACAAGTAAATAAACAAACAAGTAAATAAACAAACAAGTAAATAAACAAACAAGTAAATAAACAAGCAAGTAAATAAACATACAAGTAAATAAACAAACAAGTAAATAAACAAACAAGTAAATAAACAAACAAGTAAATAAACATACTAGTAAATAAACAAACAAGTAAATAAACAAACAAGTAAATAAACATACTAGTAAATAAACCTACAAGTAAATTTGGCCTTATTTAACTTTTCTGAAAAATTTATTTAAAAAAACTTCCGAGTTGAAACTTGAATTATATGGATAGAAAATATCTAGATTTTGAAATTTAAAACAATTGTTTAGAATAAATTATTTATGACCTTAACTATCTTTGTAGATATCTGGTTTCTTATTTCTTTAATCAAAGTATTTTGAAATACCAAATGTCAGTTTTGTTTCTTCTTGCATTTATAATTAGTTTTTTTTAAATTTGTGGTCATTTTAAATATAATTGCGTTATGCGTATGATCTCTGGGCCAGTAAATATTTAAGAAATATTTTTTTCTTGTATTCAAGTTTAATTTAAAAAGGATTTAACACACTATATGGGGAAAAGGTCGTAGGGAGAATCAAGAGAAGAGGGGAATGGAATAGTAGGGAGGTGAGGCCGGGGGTAGGGGGAGGGAGTGCGAAGAAAAAGAGGGGAATAGAGGGGTTACTAAATTTATTTCTATCTGATATAAGGGGGGGAAATAGAATTTGCCAGAGGATATAAACATAGTCAAGATATGTCATGAAATATTATTTATATTCGTCTGTCTTCCATTCTTTAGAAGAGAAGATTAAATTTATTCATTTTCATAAATCGTTAAATTGTGGAACTTATATTAAAATTGAAATATTTGCACTTAAACAAACAGAAAAAAAACAAATGTAACATTGCAAATTTTTTTATAAAAAAATTCTTTGCTCCTAAAAAAACAAACTGTGTTCAGCAATTTTAAACTTTTACAATTATCAAACCCGCACATTCTCGTATGTTCAATGTGAAAACTATTTCTGAGCAAACAGAAAACAAAGAAAAATTCTAAAAAGTGTTGTTAAATCAAAAACAAGATTTAAAAGCAAATTTAAATGACATTTACGATCCGATACAATACAATAAAACAAATGCACAAATGAGAGTTTAAAGCAAAAATTACTTCAAAAATTCTTTTTTTACCATTCTTGAAAAACTAAAACAAACCCCTTATTGTCCTCTAGTTAGTGTTGTTCGTAATTAAAGAAGGTTGAAGAGTTTGATATTTATCTTTAGCTGCCTTTTCTAACTTTAGAAACTTGACAACTCTTTGTCTTGAATTTTATTTCTTAAATAATATATTTTCAATAACTTAAGGCTCCAAAATCCTTCTTAGAGAGATATTAAATATTGTGAGACATTTATACATTTGCTAGAATACAATATTTCTTAGATAGATGGATATAACGTAAATGATAAAGATCCTGTTTTTTTAGGTCAGTTATCTTTAGAATGAACAATGAACATCGATTTGTGGTATGGTCATGGTATGGTCATGGTATGAATTATAATCAAGTATTAGATTAGTGTAACAAAGTTTGCATTTAAACCACTAAAATATATTTTAAAATCCGCAAATTCTGGAAGATGTAAAAAAATCATTATTTTACAATGCCAACTCCAGTTCCAGAGTTTCAAATTCTCCTTGTGCCCAAGATCGGTGAACATTCATCATCTTTCAATATGGCAAGCTGGATAATTTGTTTATTTTCCCTTTCCAATACGAACTTCTTTTTTTACTTATAGATTTGACTCTACTGAATAAATACTGTTATAAATCAAAACTTGATTAAAAAGTCGTCTTCATTGATTAGATGCAAACCTCGACCGCTGTAATCTTACAGTCCTAATTAGAAAGACTCGGAATTAAATTACAAATTACGAAGCTTTACAATGTAATTTTTCAAATATGATTAATTTATTAATAATCACAAAATAACCCTAATCCTGCCGTTTCCAACATGTGACCTGTCTTTTTAAGCATTTGATATTGTCAGAGATATTATGTTCAGTGGACTGATTAACTTTCAAGTAGTCTTTCTGATTATGACTGTATTAAAGTCAAAATAAACAAGCAAATTATATCAAATAAATAATAAAACAAATTTTTAGCTTACAGTGCGAACAGAAAAATCTGGAATAAGAAGACGACTTTTAGACTGTAGTATATGACTTTAAATAGTCTATGAACATGGATCACTGCAATGTGCAGTGTTATAAAGACCTAATTAACTAAATAAGTGAATTAATAAGTTACTAGTAAAACTATAGCTTTGTAAGAATTGCTTTAAGGTCGTCTTCCAATTCCACAGTTTTCTGTTTCTAACTGTAGATATGTCAAACCAGGATGCCACGTGATCTGTCTCCATTTTTTAACCCTATCCTGATTGGGCTATTTTTTCAAATATAGATTGGGGTCGGGGGAAGGAGGGGTTCCACCCCTCCTATGATTTAGCCCTTAGAGTTGAGATATTGGAGTGTGATCATGTCCCTATTCCAACTTTTCAATGTCTGATCATTAAAAGAAATTAAACCTCTATCTTTGATGTTTAGAGCGCGAGGGATGATTTAAAAATGCAAAAAGTACATTGGTAAAATGTTCAAAAGTAAATATTTTTACTTTTGACAAATATTATAACATGTGACACATCTTATCATCCATTTTTCATGGGCTTTTCAAATATGTAAATTTTCGCCCTGAAGTTTTTCACCATTTTGATATTTTTTGAAACACTGACCCGCCTTGTTTGTCACAACTATGATTTTGTGTTCCTTAAATAAAGAAAAAAAATCCAATTTTCCTGTTTTTAGACTAAATTCATATTTATTCCTAATATTTGCATAATCTTCTTTTATCCATCTTTCAGATGTGATGAAACTTTAAACTTTTTACCCTAAAGGAATTTCTAATATGGAATTAATTCAACAGTTCAAAAGAAGTAAATGTAAAAACAACTTTGTTTCTGGAGCCATTTCATGTTTTTAGAAATATTTTCAATTCTAGTTTTTGTTTTGAATTTTGAAGCAAGCATTAACAAATCGGTTTTATAAAGAAATCATCTTTCAAGTTTTTGTTTTTAAGTTTGTTTTCTTACGCCAGACAATGTGTTGCAGTTCGTAAATTATGAAAAATAAGAAATCCTATTAAATTCTTTTTTCTGTATTTCTCTTTTTTGCCTGTCTGTGTCTTACTTTGATTTCAATCCATCCAAATTCTAGTTCAACCAAAATTCAATTTGAGATTTATTTATTCTCTAAACCTATAAAAATACCCCCTTTTCCTTTTATCCTTTTTTCGAAACTTTTTCCCCCCAAATTCCCCCCCCCCCCCCTACACTTTCCTTTTAATCCAACACTTTTCCCTTAAATGTCCCCTCCGATCCCTTCCCTGTGTAAATCCTCTCCTAAAAATACCAATTTATCTCCTTTTTCTGATTCACTTGTTCAATCCCTCTGTAATATTATTTACCGAAATCCCAAATATACCCCCCCCCACCCCTCCACTTTTAAACTTTATATCTCCTCATTTAAATCCCCAGCTTCCTATCCAACCTGGATATCCCTGTTGAATATTCTTATTTTCACACATTGAATCTCTTGTTTCCCATTTCCAACATTAGATCCACTAACCCCCTTCCCACACAGGTTTAAATCCTGTCTTATACCCCCTTTAAACTCTATCATTCCCCATCTAAAGCCCATCTTTTCCATTTTAAATCCCCCCTTAAAGATATTTTCCTATTTCAAAACTTTATCTCTCATTTAAAGCCCCATTTCCAACTATAAATACCCATACTCCCCACTCTGAAAGTTTATCTCTCCCCCATTTAAAGCCCCTATTTCCCACATTAAATATACCCCCCCTCCCCTCCCTCCCACATCTCAATCCCCAGATCTCAACCCGTTCTAAGTTTTATCTTTAAAATATTCAGCTTTGAATTAAACTTGAAGCCATTCTAATGTTTGAGAAGCTCTGTTCATCTTTATTTAAATCCCCTGGAATCAGGAACAATTATAAAGACCAATAAAGTTTAGAGAAGACTTAATTCTTGTCTTAAAACTAGAGCAATTTACATACAGACAATGATTCTAATGGGGCCCATTGAGAGTTGGGGGACATGGGGCGTAACAAAAGGGGATACAAAGGGGGTAAACGGGAGTGAAAGGGGATAAAAGGGGTGAAAGGGGGGTGAAACCAATGTGATATTTTGATTATCAGAATTAAATACGTTTAAACTAGAAAAAAGACAATATATCTTCTATATTGCTGATCAGATAAAGGTAACAAGGGTAGCTTTGTGAATCAGGCATTGCCATCTTTGCATGGAGGGTCACTTTATAATATGCTTACAGTCCCTTTCAGATATAGTTGTCTATCTGTTCCAATATGTAGTCTATACCTTCTTTACCCTGGAGGGGTAAAAATTCCTTTGATAAAGTTTCAAATTCTATTTTAGAAAGTTTTGAAAGTAAATTAATCTTTAGAATCCGGGATTCTTCTGGAGTTTGAGGTAAATAAAGGAGGTTTATGGAGGTAAATAAAGGGGGTATATGGAGGTAAATAAAGGCGGTTTATGGAGTTGAATAAAGGGGGTTTATGAAGGTAAATAAAGGAGGTTTATGAAGGTAAATAGAAGAGTTTTATGAAGGTAGATAAGGCCGGGGGTTAATCTTTAGAATCCGGGATTCTTCTGGAGTTTGAGGTAAATAAAGGAGGTTTATGGAGGTAAATAAAGGAGGTTTATGGAGGTAAATAAAGGGGGGTTTATGGAGTTAAATAAAGGGTGTTTATGGAGGTAAAAAAGAAGGTTTTATGGAGGTAGATTAAGGAGGTTTAGAGGTAAATGAAAGTGTTTACGGTGGTAAGTAAAGGAGGTTTATAGACGTAAATAAAGAATGTTTATGAAGGTAAATAAAGGAAGTTTATGGAGGTAAATATGGAGATAAATAAGGGGATTTATGAAGGTAAATAAAGGCAGGTTATGTATGTAGAGAAAAGGAATTTATTAAGACAAATAAAGGGGAATTATGTAGGTAAACAAAGGGATTTTATTAATGTAAATAAATGGGAATTTTGAAGTTAAATAATAAGAAGGGTTTATGAAGGTCAACTAAGGACGTTTATTAAGAAAAAAGGGGGCTGGGGTAATTATGGAGGGGCACGCACCTCTGCCCCTCCAGTAAATGTAAATTAAACCTATTTGAAGTATAAAGTCCATGACCGCGTCAACCTTGTTGCATCGGCTAGTCCTGTCCATAGAGCTAGGTACAGTACAAACTGGGACCGGAAAGGTTGACCCGTCTCGGAAATTCAAATGTACTACGGCTGCCCGTGGGGGTGGGATGTTGAGGTTAAGGGTTTACGATAAAAAGGAATTTAATGGATAAAAAAGAGGTTAGAGTAGAAAATGGGTTATTAAGGAAATAAGTTTTTTTTATATTCCTGCAAACAATATTTTTTTCTATGGTTTACATTATCAAGCTCGAACCAACCTCTATCTAATTATAATATTGCGGTATGATGTCCAAACCAGATATTAGGCTAAAGGATTGTGTTTGTATAAAGGGTATCCCAATAAACATAAGAATTGAGTAACAATTTTGATAAAGTCTTTGAAAATATTTTTTATTTAGTATGGTGATACCAACCAGGGAAGCTGTGATTCGTAGTTATTTCATCTGCTAGAGTTAAGAATTTGTTTTTTCATGTTTTGATTGCATATCTGTTGTACATCGTTTTTCTTGCAGACATGTCATTGAGCATCATGCATACAACGTTTTACAGAATAACGAAACAGCCTTTTACCGTGTACATAAATTATACACTAGCAGAGGTGTCTTTATGGCGGCCATTAAAATTAGGTAATACAGAACTATAATTTTGAATAAAGACGATTTCGTATTCATAACTCAATTCCCATGTGAATTAGAACACCCTGTATTACAAAGTACATGTACGGACAATGCAAATACTTTTAAAAGGATTTAAATGTACATAAATGTAATATTTGAAATATTTTTAAACCAAAGCTTAGGCACAATGGTTGATATTTTATTTTTACTGAAGAGAATTTCATCAAAATGTACTCGTATTAATTATTATAGGTTACATGGTTCAGTCCAATTTTTCTGTAAAGAAGAATTGATTAAAAACGGTCCATTACAAAATCTAAAAATCTCTTATCTCAGCTCAGTCTTAAATCAAGTATAAATGAAACTCAGCCTTGGATTAGTCAATGAAAAAAAAACGATTATTTCACTTAGATTTTTTCATAGTTTAAGTTTTCTTTAGTTGCAAATTTTTGGGGGGTTTCACTGGTAGCTCCTCACGAGGGCCAAGCCAAGCGGATATTGCAAAAATCACTTTTTAAATGTCGCACTTTTACTGAAATATTGAAATATAGTTAATCATGGGACGGAATTAATCCCAGTACAGTTATAGTATTGGACCAGTACGAATTTTGTAGAGCAATCTAAATCCCTGACATTTTGAAATGGCAGTGTATTACAGAATAGGTACTACTTTGTTTTGAAAATTTGAATAAGTATCTTTGTGAATACCTTTTAACCGATAGAAACTGTACAACAAGCATTAGCAAGTCATACTTTAATTAGTAGATCCTCAAGCACGAAAGGGTAACAAACTCTTTAAACATAAAAATGTTTCTTTCTTTATTTTACTTTCACAAAAAAAAATATTAAAATTGAATTTCTATTGAAAGACTTCCTCACCTCTGTAGGGGCGTTTATTTTAATAAAAAGGACTATGCACGTACTTTAAATTACCCTTGATTAATGGGATGTCCGGACCCTTTCACCCTTTCACCCTTTCACCCTTCACCCTTTCACCCTTCACTCTTTCACCCTTTCATCTTTTACTCTTTTTACCCTTTTACCCTTTCACCCTTTTACCCTTACACCCTTTCACCCTTTCACCCTTTCACCCTTTCAACCTTTCACCCTTTCACCCTTTCACCCTTTCACCCTTTGGCCTTACCCCTTTATCTGAGTAACGAAGATGAAGATAACGTCGTTCTCTATTTTGTTAAATCTTACAATTTTCCTCATTGTCTCTGCAAGATAAATACGCTTGTCAATTTAACAGAGAAAACACAACTAAAAATAATCAATGTTTAGCTAGAAAAATAAGGTTATCTCATTCATCCATTCAGGGCAGCGTTACATATCGGACCATGCCACTTTATAAATAGAGGGTCACTTGAATTTACGTCTATAGTCCCTTTAATCCCCCTTCCTGTCCTCCCATAGTATTCTACTCGTCCTCTCCCGGTTTAAATATTTTGAATAGTTGTATAATGAACCAAATTTACATTCCTTGGAAATCATTTATCTCACACCAACACAAAAATAAAAGAAAAAAAGATGGTTGTAAAAGAAAATTATTCTGCATACCAGAAAGAGGGACCTTATGTAAAACATATGGTGTAACATTATATCTGTAAACCTGAATTACGTTTTACATTATTAAATATATACGTTGTAAATAGCTACGTAAAACCCATAATATGATTTAAATTAACTGCGCTGTAAATAACTATGTAACATGATTAGCTTAATTACGTAGTATAAATATCAACATAAAACTTGTAATTAAATCGATTAATGTTAACTTGTAAGTTGTAACATAGAAACCCCAAATATATTTAGTTGGAAGATACTCCACTAAAACTACAATGAGAGAAGTAATTGTTCCTCGTTTAGCAAACGAGTTGAGGAGATCGTGCCCGAGACATTGATAGATTACGAGATTGTGCCATGTTTGACATTTATAGCTCAAGATCGTAACAGTAATTTTGCATGGATTTGCCCGTGTTTGGCATTGATAGTGAAGAGTATGTTTAACCGATTAGCTCTTATTCCTCGCAGACAAACGAGAGAGATTGAGTTGTACCTGGATTGATATGGGTTTGAGAGACCCTTATAGATTTGGGCATTTACTAAACTTAAATTTTTTTTCCACATTTATGAATAACTATTTTAAAAAGAGGCCACGATTATAAATAATAGATTTTAAAGGTTTTAAACATTGATATCGAGTACCGTTCGGAATGCGAAATGTCACTCTATAAATAGAAAATCAGTTTTAATTACGACTACTGTCTTTTTCAGAAGGCATACCAAGTCAACATTTAACTAATTAAGTTTTTTATTTGGTCATTTTTTCTGAGAAATCCATATTTTTTATCTTTAAATATTTCAGATTGTTTGTCACTGTGTGTTTTTTGGAAGGAGGAGAAATAGAGTAAATCTTTTAAATTAATCCCCAAACCTCCTTCTCCCTCATATCTTTTTCTAACTGGGGGACATTGCTGGATCAAAATTTATAAAAGTTTATATTAGTTTTTGTTTAAAAGTGAAAAGTCTTAGAGCTGTGNTGTAGAGAAATTTTTTAGGATTCACTTAAGACATATTAAACGATTTTTCATTTAAAGGGAGTATCGGCAATGCATGGTGGTTGAACTACGATTGCAGTGTGGTAAAGAAATGTTTCAGGGTTCAGTCGAGACATATCAAACGATTTAAATATCTATAATTACTGAGTTAGTTTGAGCGTGAAGTCGACGTTCAAAATCTCAATTTGGGTGGGTATGTTTTGACAATCGTTTTTTTTTAAAATATTAAATAACGACGACAAAAAATATAGTAAAAGTTCTATACTAATTAGATGTTTAAGAAAATACTACTCAAAAGAAATTTGTCAATAAATCAATGTTAGAATATTATCTTGTTTGCATCATTATATTGATTGAATTTCTTATTTTTTATAAATTTGTTCACAGATTTCTACAAATTCTTCTACAAATGTCCTCTTGTCAATAAAAATAATCTACAGAAAATCTTTGTGAATAATGAGAGATTACAGAAACTAATGACTGAGATTACTTATTTTCAATGATCAGAGTTAATCTTTAATTTCTCAACCTGTTCCTAAACATCTAATTATTAGTTTACTGTAGAATTTGTGTTACATATTTTGTCGCCGTTATTTGATAATTTAAAAAGACGATTCTTAAAACGTAACAACCCAAATTGATGATTTTGAACGTCGATTTTGAGCTCAAACTCAGTAATTATAGATCTTTTAAACGTTCAATATGTCTCAAATGAATCCTAAAAAATTGCTGTACAATACGGTAATCTCATACATTACTGGTCACTCTCTTTAAATGAAAAATCTCGAATGGGTCCTAACAATTCAATTTGAAAAATCTCAATAGTAAATCATGTCTCAGATGCTAACTTATTGCCAAAAGAATCTTTGAGCTTTAAGTTTTTCAAAAATGAGCTTTTTAAGATTTTATGCAGATGGAATTTTCTTAAACAAAAAACTATAAAAAGATGATGTGTTCGTAATTTCAAATTTCTAATAACTGCCTTTAATTCCTTAACATCCCAAATATATTAAATAACATGTCAAACCGGAAAAGCCACAAAACATAAAGTTTATCAATTCTTTATCTTGAACTCAGTTATAATCTATCTACTGTGAAGTTAATTACGAAAATAAATTTGTAAATTTTTCAATCTAATTTTACTGTTTTAATTACAAACTTTTTTTTAACATTCCTTATATCTATATATATTTACTTTTCTTGTCCGTCTGTTCGTTGGTTTCAGTTGTATATCCAATGAACGTAAAAACATCTAAACCGATCGGACCCACATTTTGTGTAGGACCTCAGAGGACCTCAGGGAAGGTTTCTGAGTGATCAAAAATTCAAAAATTT